TATATATATATATATATATACTTATATTGCATGACCTTTTCTTTGTTCTTATAAAATTATGTTTTATTTTTAAAAACTATTTTTAACTCTTTTTTTTTTATCTAGTCTTTGTTATATATTTTGCTTTAGAGTCTTTGTAATTTTACCTATTTTTGCAGTCCTTATAATGTTTTGTTATTTTTGAATTATTTCATTTAAAAAAAATAACATGAACTTTAAATGAAAATTATTTACAAGAATAAAAATAAAATAAAAAATCAGTATAATACAGGGATTAAACTATAAAAAGAAATTTTACAAAACTTATTTTAAAATATAATCTTATAAATACCTAAATTAAAAAAAAAAGGGTCTATTACAAGACCAAAAATATATTGATGGCTTATTAATATAATTTTTATCTGATAAAACTAAAGTAGTTAATATATAAACATTATAAATCTATATTAATAATATAATGTATTATAATAATCGTACGGTTTTTCAAAAATATAATTGATGATTTTCTAAACTATAATGGAATCATATGTTATTAATAGTACTATTAATGGTTACATTAGTATAATTAAATACAATAAATGTACAACGAATTATGGGGGCAGTTAAACTTTTCAACTTTTTTTTTATTTTATATTTTAGTATACATATATCATTTGTAATGCTCTTGTACTTAAATAAAATATTGCCTTCTCTCTCTTTTTTATATTTAAAATAACACCATTTTAATATTATAAAAAATTGTCTTATAACTCCTATTAACACATAATCCCTTATCAATTTTCATATTGAAAATTGTTATGTAGATCAAAATAAAAAAATTATTATTCATATAAAAAAAACATAACTCTAATTTTCATTTCTTTTTTCTTCAAAAGTTCATTATTAGATAGAATATTTAAAATTATAATTTTTATATTATTTATTTTATTTTTATTTTAATAGGAAATTAAATATTTTTATTTACTCATTTTATTTTTATGGTTTAAAATATTATATTTTATGAACATTATATTAGTTATGATTATATTGATTACATGTTTGTTTAATAACATATATATAGAGAAAGAATTTTAATAATGTTGAAAATGAAGAGTTAGTTAATAATAAATTAGCTGAAAGCTTATAAATTATAAATTGAAAGTTAAAAAATTAAAAATTCACAAGTTAATTGATTGAATTAAATTATTTTGATAAAATTAAATAACAAATAAATTTAATATGACATAAAATAGTTTTTATAATAAGAGTGAGAGAATGACAAGAAAGGTAAAATAATTTTTAAATTAAAAAAGATAAAAAGAAAATTAAATTAAATTAACGAGGATAAAAAATGAGAAAAAAAATAAGTTAAAAGTTTATAAATTATAAACTAGTTCAATTAACTTAAAAAAATAAATTATAAATTTTTAAAATAAGTTTTGTACAAAATTTTGTAACAAATAAGTTTATTTTAGTCAAACTAACTTATAAACTAATCAAAGGAGCTTATAAACTCCTAAAATACTTTCTCAAATAGACTTGAAAATATTATCTGTTTTCAAAATATGAAAACTTATATAGAAAAACTAAAATGTATATTTTATATTTATAAAATGTTGTATTATATTTTAAATATTTTAAATTTATGATAAAAAAAAAAGTGTTCTCACAGCGGCTTAAAATTTCTAGATTGGTTTCTATTATAGCATTTTCATATTTTATATTTATGAACATGCATGATTTTGATCAATTAAAAAGTATTTGCCAAGTTAATTTGTTTACTTTCTGGGAGGTAAGGAAGACCTACTTTTACTATAATATTTACAATTTCAGTGATATATTCATCCAGCAAATTTGCATCAGATGCTTTGCTACATAGCTACAAGAAGAGTTTTAATGGATTTGTGGCAAAGCTAACAAAAAAGGAAGCAATGAGAATGAGAGGTATTGTAATTAGAATCGCGTGTGCGTGTGTGTTAAGATATGTTAACATTAACTCTAAAAATTTATAATAAATTTTATACTTTTAATAATTTTTTATATAATACAAATTTAATTAATTCAATTTTTAAATTATATGATATTATAATCACAATTGTGTATATCAAATTTTACATAATGATACAATTATTTAGTAGTTCATCATATTACGTTATTTAAATATATAATATATGATATTTAAAATACGTGTAAATATTTTTTTTTGGATAATATATTTACAAAAATTCAAATTATATGAAATTTGATATACATGATTTTATACATAATATCACATAATTTAATGGTTGAATCAATTATATTTACATTATACAAAAATATTATTAAATGTATGATTTTGTGTAGGTTTTTAAATTTAAACCTAGAGCTATCAAAACAGGTCACCTAACCTGACTTGACGCACCATAGGTTGACTACTAAATGATTCAATCCAATCCGGCTCACCCTCTAATGAACTAACAAAAAATGATCTCAACTCGACTCACTACAAATTGGTAGGTTAAACGTGTTGGTTCACTTAATTTTAAAAAAATTGAAAAAAAATGATTTCTTTTTCAAATGTCAAGCCATATTTTTTTTTTAAATATCTGTTCAGTCAAATCTATTTTTAAAATAAAATATCTTTTTTTTCAAATGTCTAACCACACAATATTTTTTTTTCTTCTAATTTCTTTTCTTTTTCTTCCACAAAAATAATTATCTGACCTAATAAATAACCCTCCTAATGTGACATTTAACTAAATGAATAAGTGGCTATGAATTTTTTTTTTGAGCGGGTTGTGGATTTTAAATTTTTTTATATAAGTGGATTGTAGGTTTTTTTTTTTTTTTTTTATGTGAGTGGGTTCGTGAGCAAGTCCAACTCACCACGGGTTTAACCTGGATAAGCTATAGGTTCTTAGTGAATTAGGTTGAATTTTCAACAATATTGAAATTTGTAAATGGGTTGTCATTGTAATTTTAAATGGGACATTTTAAATGAGAAATGAGGACTTTTAATTAGACATTTGATTAAAATTTTAAAAAATTATATGAAATTAAAACTCCATTATAAAAATCTCTTATAATATATTGGTGTCGCCTTACCACTGTATCACCATTGATGACGCCATATAACAACAACAATGACGATAACATCAATGATGATAATGACAATCATAGTAATAAAAGACACTATTGTCACCACCACTCATCATTGTCATCATTGTTACCATAGTGATAATTATCACGATCTTCTCAAACACTATCGTCACAAGATAACAATGGTAGTAGTGGAGTCAATAACAATGGTGGTAGGCGGAAATTGTAGCGAGGGCAGTAATAATAATCATGTTTTAATCTTGAATATAATTTTTTTAAATTATAATCTAATGATTATCATTAAAAGATCTCATTACAAAGAATGCATTTTAAGAAACTTCTTAAAATGAGATGCAACAAGTATTAATAATAGCTTTTATGTTATATATAAAAATAGTCAATGATTGAGATTAAAATTCAATTATAGAAACCTAACTCCTATGAGATTAACACTATCATCGTCTTCATAACTATAACCATCACCATTAGCATCACCCACCATTTTTGTCTTGACTTTTACCATGACCACAACTTTCATCACTATTATCATTACTATTGTCATCATCATCAGTGTTACTAATGTTACCATAATGCCGCCACAAGTGGTGTCAATGTTGGTGGTGCTAATAGTGATGGTTGTAGTAGAAGCGAAAGAAGTTTGCAATAATAATGATGATAGTAATAATGATGTGGATGGTGACGACAATACAACACTAGTGATGATAGTAGTGATTGACTGATGGCGATTGTAGGTTGTGGTGATAGTTGTAGTCATGGAAGTAATGATAATAATGATCTTATAAAAGGTGTTTATCATTGAGTTTTAATTTCAATGTTTAATTGTTTTCATTATTAATCAAAAGGTTATTATTAATTTTTTTTTTCATTTCAAACGTTCCCTCCCCCTTTCCTTTTCTCTTGTTCTTTCTCTCTCTCTTTTTATATATATAGAGAGAAAGAGAAGGGATCTGTTTACGTTAGAAGTAAGTTTATATATATTTATTATGTTCAATAATTCATATTTTATACAAATTTCAACGATTTAACTGTTGAATATAAAATTTTTAATACATCACTACTAGAAAATTGCAAAATAGCGACCAAAATTAGTGACCGAAATTTATCAGTCGCTATTTAGCGGCCGATTATGAATAATCAAAATATCCACCGATTTAACAACCAAAATAAGTCGTCACTATTTCGGTCGCTAAATAAGAAATTTTGATTTTTTTAGCGACAGAATTAAATTCGGTCGCTATTTCGGTCGCTAAATTAGAAATTTTGATTTTTTAGCGACGGAATTTAATTAGGTCGCTAAATATAAGTTAAAATTAGCGACCAAATTCAATTCGATCGTTAAATCATAAATTTTGATTTTTTTAGCGACAGAATTAAATTTGGTTAGTAAATATTAGTTAAAATTAGTGACAAAATCGGTAAATATTAGTTAAAATTAGCGACGAAATTTAATTTCGTCGCTAAATCATAAATTTTTATTTTTTTAGCGATGAAATTAAATTTAGTCACTAAATAGTAGTTACAATTAGTGATGTAATTCTATTCGGTTGCTAAATTTTAGTTAAAATTAGCAACAAAATTCTATTCAGTTGCTAAATATTAGTTAAAATTAACGACGAAATTCTATTCAGTCATTAAATAAAACTTAAAAAAAATTATAAATTGCTTAAAAGTGATGATAATATTGTTGTTCAGTATCAATCACATTTTCTTTTTTTTTTTTGTAAGAGGAAGACATTAATTTATAATAAATAAAAAAAATAATATGCACTCCTACATAATTAATACCAATAGTTATTTATGTGAAAAAATATTTAGAGGTATTTTTACGATTGGTTTTTTAGGCAGCTTTTTAATTAGAGTATATGAATTTTTTAAAATTTCTTATTTATTTTGATCCATATATATATTTATAATATATATTTCTAAGTTATGATAACTTTATTTTTAAATAAATTTTTATATTTAAATTTTATTGATAGAAGAGATGTGATATCTTAAGGAAAAAAAGAATTATAACATCCTCTCTATGTATTTTCTTAACTATTAGTATTTCTTTATTGTTGTGTGATAAAATTAATTATTTTAAATTATTTAACTAGAATCTTATTAATAATTTACTCTATGATTTTAATATTTTTGTATAACTAATATCTGATTTTAAACTTGATATGAAAATATTATGATATAACTAGATAAGATTTTAAATTAGTATTTTATTAATGGTTGATAATTAGAAAATAAAACAAGGATAAATACATTTTTTGAATTTTATATCTTAGATTTAAGATGAATAAATATATTAAGTTAATTAATAATTTATTTAAAATGTTAAAATTTAATTTATAAAAATGATATTTTAAAAGAGAAGGGTTATAATAACATCGGTGTAACTTTTACTAAGTATTACATCGCTCAATAACTTTATATTAAATGTGAATTTTATAAATTCAACCGTTAGATTGAAAGTTTTTTACTCTTAGATCATATATACAAAATCTTATATGAATTCAAGATGATTTGATATTTCATTCTTGTAAAACAAAATTGACGTAATATATACATTTCAAATAAAATATGAGCACTTTGATTACTTTCAAGTTGTTCAATTTTAAAAAAACTAATATAAACATATAAAGTGATATGAACTTTCAATCTAACGGTTGGATTTACAAAATTTACATTTAATATAAAGCTATTGAGCGGTGTAATACTTAATAAAAGTTATATTAGTGTTATTATAACCCTTCTCATTTTAAAATATATAAATTATTACTTAAACTTTTAAATTTATAATAAATAATTTAAATTGTATCATAAAATTAATTTTAAATAAAAATAAGTAGATTGTTAATTATAAAAGTAAGTATATATATAAATAAAGATTAATTAAAATATAATATAATTATTATTATTAGTAATATAATTATTATATATTTATAACGGTCCAAATACACCAAAATGATAAGGATCTAAAGATAATATAAGTATGAGATTGGATAGTTGAGGATGACTTAAATGAATTAATTTGTATTACTTATACTAATAACATCCATTTGCTTTTCGGTAGCTTATCTCATAAGAACTTCACAGTTAAGCGTGCTTGACTTGAAGTAATATAGGGATGGGTGACCTTCTCGAAAGTTTCCAAAAATTGTGTAATTAAGGACAAAACATGCTAAAAAGTTAAGTATTGTGAAATAAAATTTGAATGGTTTGTAGCGACCAAATTTGCGATGTCTATAAAATTTAATAAAATAAAAAATAAATATTTAGCGATCGAAAATTTTTTCGTCGCTAAATAGCTTAGCAACCAGGGTTTTAATTAGAGACTGATAAAATTCGGTCACTAAGGTAAATAGCGACTGATTTTAGCAATTTAGTGACCGATTTTGGTGGTCGCTAAATTGCATATTTTTTGTAGTGCATAAATCAAGTTTGCAAATTTTTAAAAATTTTGTAAAATATTTGATATTTTATTTTATTAATTCAAATTAATGAATAATAATAAAATCATTTTATATGTTGATTTGAGTTAATGAAACAAAATATCAAATAATTTTCAACTTCTTAAAAAATTTATAAACTTGGCTTATGTATTAAAAATTTTAAATTTAATAATTAAATCGTTAAAATTTAATATAAAATATAAGTTATTGAACGAAGTAAGTCTATATAGACTTACTTCGAGAACAAATGGATCATTCATCTTTTATATATATATATATATATATATATATATAT